CGACTTCTATGGAGAGTAGGGTGGTCTTCTCGCGGACCCTCTCTTAAGGCATATCATACCGAACCATTAGCTGGTCATTTTGGTGTCAAACGTACTTATTTAAAATTAAAGAATAAATTTTGGTGGCCTGGTATGTTACATTCTGTTACTATGTATATCAAGAACTGTTTACCTTGTCAACAATACAATATTAGTCGTATGAAAAAACCTGGTCATTTATGTTTAATTGAACCACGTGATGGACCATTCCAGTTAATTGGTATTGACTTTTGTGGACCTTTTCATCGTACTCCTCGCGATAATCGATATGTTCTATGTATTACAGATTATTTTACAAGATGGATCTCAGCTATAGCTTTACCAAATTGTTCAGCTCCAACTACTGCACAAACTATTTTTAATGATTACATTTGTCGATACGGAGTACCTAAATCTATTTTATCGGATCAAGGTACTCATTTTAATAATCAATTAATGGATGCTATGGCTAAATTAGTTGGATATACTCACATATTTTCTACTGTTTACCATCCACAAAGTAATGGAATGGTTGAACGATTTAATGCTACATTTGTGCCACAATTAGCTAAACTTCATGATCGTGAAAGTAATAATTGGGATGAATATTTATCACCAGTTGTTTTTGCATATAATACTAGTGCACATTCGACTACACACTATTCTCCATTTGAATTACAATTCGGACGTAAACCTCGTTTTCCTATTGATACACCATCATTTGATTATATTTTTTATACACCGAATGATTATTATGTTCAATTAAAAAAGAGTTTACAAATTATTCATAATAATGCACGTATTAATATGACTCAACAACATTCGAAATACAAAAAATATTATGATAAAAATCGCTCTGAACCTATTTATAAAATTAATGATCAAGTTTTAACAAAAATTCACGGTTCTCGTTCTAAGTTAGATCCTCGATATTCTATCACACCAAAACTTATTGTTCAAGCACAACATCCTATTTATTGGGTTAAAGATGCAACAACTCAAATTGTTAGTCGTGTTCATGTTAGTGATATACGCCCTATACTTATGCCATTAAAATCAACATCAAACTGATTTATTATATTATAAATGTATTAATACAAACGTATTACATTTTTCATCATTATTTCTTTTATAAACAATCTATTTGCATCATTTTTTTTTCTTTTTATATCTCATTTCACTATTATATACATGTTAAACAACCAGACATTATGTCATCTATTTTATCTATTCACTTATTTATTTTGTAGTATCGATGAATCATGTTTACACTTATGTCCTAAAATGCGCCCTCTATTGCTAATAGTGTTTCATTAATTTTTAATGTTATTTCTATCATACAGATGTTATTGACCTCCTTTATCGTCCTATCGACGTATTGTAATTGATCGTTCTGTAAAATTACCCATCTATGCTTTGTTATTGACCTCATTATTTTCTTTCCTTTCCTTCGTCTCGTCATTATATCTTTCTTCAGAATAATGTCGTATATTGTTAAACCATCACGGCCTCGTGATCCAGCTAAACCACCAACAAATCTATCTGCACGTAGTTTGAAAAATTGGTTCAAAAATACTAACAAACAATTACAAAGTTATGATTATCAACTTAAGGGGCCCCCCCCTTTCCCGACTCAAAATTTTCACATTTTTCATTTTTCATTTTTTGTGATTAGTATATAGATTTGAATGCCCTCTATCCATTGAGTACATTTTGAGAACTGAAAAACCACATCTTATATATAAAAAATTCGAAAAAAATCACAAAATATGCTGAAAAAACCAAAAAAACACAAATTTCTTTGCGTTTTTCTCAAAATCAGTTTTTTCAGCAAAAAAATGAAGTTTTCCCCCTTTTTCTCCGCCATTTCAAGTCCGATCGGGCTGAAAATTGTTTTGGTGAGACTTCAAGTGATTTGGGTTGGGGGTTTTTTTTTTTTTTTGGATACCTTCTACCAATCAAGTTTGGCAGGCTTCGCAAAATTTTTAGGATCCAAAAAACCTAGAGATTTTGCAAGGTGCTCAGTATTTTGGTTCTCCAGCCTGAAGTATTTGGAATTTTTGAAAAAAAAAAAACGCCCACCCCGATTGGGTCCGTCTACCCACAGTAAAAATTTCAGCTCAAACGGATGAAATTTGTGGATTTGCGGGGGGAAAACTTTTTGCAAGTTTTTGACCTTGGGGTCTCTGGAAGTCCATGAAGATGACGTCTGGCAAATTTGTGTCTATGACAACTTTTGCTCTACTACTCGAGGTCTATCTACCCTGCAAGTTTCAGGAATTTTCGTTCGGCCGTTTCTTAAAAACGCCGGAAAGGGGGGGGGGGTCCCCTTAACTATCCGCCATTTTATGTTCCTGAGATATGTTATCAAGTTTTTCATGTTCATCGATATATTACATCAGAGGAATTACAAACTATTATGGAACATATTACAACTTGCAAAAATTTTAGTATTGATACTGAATCTGATCGTAATACACGTGAACTTGCTTTAATTCAGATTCACACAATTCCATCTCGATTACCAGGTATCGTCATTCTTCTTGAATTATTTCATTTACCTTTAGTTGATACAATATTATTTCAACAAATTTATTCATTGGTTCAATTGATATTTTATTCTGGTAATACATTATATTCTTGGGGTCCCCTAGTGGCAGAACTGGAGAAGACCCGACGTTATCACCTTTTTTCTTTTCCTTTAGCATTGAGTTACATTAATCTTCAACGACGATTTAAACCATGGATCGAGGGGATACTTCCTCATTCTGAGGAATGTCAGTCCGAACATATTAATCCACAACCTTATCGTTGTGATTGTATTCCTCACATTGGTACAACAGAAACATGGTCCTTACAAAACGCTGTACGTTATGCTTGCAGTCAATTTCTTGATAAATCTTGTACAAAAAGTCGTTGGAAAAAATTATTGGATCCTTTATATTCAACATTAGCATCTTCTACTTTAAATAACATGATTTATTATGTTATTTATGATGTTCTGGCCGTTTCTTATTTACGACGACCTGTACTCGAATCATGGGATCTTGATCAATTACGAAAAGCAACAATTGCCTCGTTATTGACTGTACCATTATTTACATTTGGAGAACTTGAAGATATATCAGATGATGATATTAATGATACAGAACAAACATCAACATTGCATTTAATTAATGAACCACAAATTGCTGATGAACTTATTATTCAAGCTGACGATGTCAATTTATTATCTGATGAAACAACTGCACTTCAATCTTTACCTACACAATTATTATCAACTAAAGTTAGATTTCGTTCTTGTCGTTCCATTCAATCTCGAACTAAACGAAATAAAAAAAGAAACACTACTCGTCGTCTATTTCGTTATAGACATGTTATTCGTCGCGCTTTATATCGTAAATTTCCTATGTTCATGGTCAAGATGATTCTTAGAAAATTACATATTCATTTTGTTCATGTTAACCGTGATGTGAATGAACTTATTATTGGTATAAAATCTGAACGATTGCGTGCACAATATGAAGAACAAATTCCTATGAACCTTTTTGATCGTAATCATTATATTCATGCAAAACAATCGATTATGTGAAATGGTTTTATTTGGTGTTCACTCATTTTTTTGTTGCTTTTTCCTATCTTTTTCGTAGATAGTTGATGCTTATGTTGATTCTTTTTTCTATACACTATATCTAGTCACGCATATATAAATATATACATCTGCAACTTTTTTGTTCTTTAAGTTGTTTCTTTCTTTTCTGTTCTTCAGTTTTTTCTTTTCATCTAATATTTCGTTCTGATCTCATTTATCTTTTGTTGATGAAAAAGTTTTTCATTTTATGTAAAACTTTTTTTTCAAAGGGTAGGGTGTCAGGCCATGACACCTATACTTATTGTTATTGTTATTCTTCATTATGTTTTTCCTTTTTTTTCCTCTCTCTTGTTGTGATATGTTATGATATAACAGTTGTGAAGCAGTTATGATGAAGTAAATAAACATGATAAACAGGAATCATAACATGTGCTTTATACGAGAAATATAAATTCCTTTTTCTTCCATTATATATCTAAAGAGAGATTTATTCACTAATTTTATCAAAGTATAATTTTACACTTTGTTAAATTTCATTTTTGTCTGAAAAATGGACAGTAGTTCTGTTCCGATTCTGTTGTAAGAGTAAGACTTCATTACTTAAATGATAAAACTCTCTTGGTACTACTTACGGATTAGAAATAAGATGGATTTTTATTATGACAATTTAAAATTTCGTATTCCTAAACCTTCCCCATTAGAAGGTCCAAAAAAAGATGAAATTCCATAACGATTGAGATTCCGTAGCGGATAGTACTTTTTATTTTCTATTCAATGCAGACACTCATGTGAAGAAATGACCTAATGCTTCGAAAGCTTATTCAAAGCTGAACAATTTTTATGTAGAACGTTTATTTCTTTCTTGCTGAGTTTCGTAGTAAAGCGTTAAACTTCCAGTACATCCTTAAAAAAATTCCATTTTTGAAATTCCGTCACGGTCGATATTTTTTAAATAATTCTGCTCTAGCCAAAGAATAATCAGTGATATTTATATGTATAGTAGGTCTAAATAGTCTCTATGTATGGTAAAAATTTTAGAGAGTTTACATTTATTATTAAGAAGATACAGGTGTTACAATGTAAAAAGCTGAAATTCCGTAACGCTGGTTTTGCCCAACTGTTGCTCCCTTAGTTTTAAAGCTTCCAGGTAATGATACTTCTAATAACTGTATATCCTTCGACCGTTCAATAACAGAGTAAGTTCGTTTTTCAGGTATCACAAATGCGTCTCCCTCTGTTAACTTCTCGGTAACTTTGCCATCGACAGAAAGTGAAAGTTTGCCACTAATTACGAATATAAAGACAAATTCAGCAAGATGCTGGTACAGTTGAGGTTTAACATTGCCGTTGCCACGAATGATTCGAACACCGGCCAAGTCTTTAGTAGCTGCACTGATTCCTGTATCTCGGAATTCGAAACCAGATAATCTCCATGGCTGCCATTTCGTTTGATCCTCTGCAGCAATATATTTTACGAAACGCTGTCCTCCATAGTCACGATCAGGTAGCTTGTTAGCAGTTGGCAATTCAATGTCGTGATCGACGTAAGTATTATGTACTGCTGGACAAGCTATTGCGAGCACTTCAAGACCTGCAGAACCTTCGAGCACTCGATGACGAATTAGTGGAGGTTGCAATACGCAATCTCCTGCATAAAGAACCAATGGCTCTCCCTGATTCTCGAATACAAGACGTAACCATCCTTTATATACGTAAATCACTTGAAATCGAACTTCATGAGAGTGTACACGGTCCTTTACTGGTCCACCATTTGGAATCTGAATATGTGATGCAATGAAGCGTCCACCTTGGCGACCAGGAATTAGATCACGAGTCTTTACTCCACTACGTCCTGTGACCCATTGTGCATCAACGTTCAATCTATTAACAACAAATGATTGGTTGATTGGCGGTATTTCAAGTTTGGGATTGGCTTCTACAAATTGGATTTTGGTCCCATTTGGTGCAATTAACTCGGTGATTCCTTCCTCACAAAGCTTTGATCCATTTGGTACAAGCAAACGAATTGTATCAACCGATTGTTTTGATTCACTAGTTTTACGTTCCAATCGTATATTGAGTCCGTATCCAGAAATTATGGCTACTTCTGGATCATCGGCTGGAAAGAAAATATCAATACGAAAGCCAAGTCGATCTGTAAAGAATGCAAGCGTTTCATCGAATTGTGAACATGATAGAAGTATTTGGGCCGATTGAATATATTTTTTCATAGTTATAGATTCCATTTTTGAATCACTTCGAATAAATGAAGAGAAAAATATGCAGCGAAAGTAACATTATGATTGCCAGTGTCTCAATAAATAGTAAAAGGAGAACAGAAATGAGTCATATAATAACAATGTGACGTTTGTCGGCTTTTTCCCAATGACTTATATGACAAGACGTATGTAATGTGTCAACAATTGCTCTCAATGTTCTTTTACAGGAAAGAGAAAAATCCTACATAAGTTGAAGAAAAAAGATTGCGTCCTGTATCTTTATAATTAGTTATTGGGTATTTTACAACATGACACGTGAATATGAGTAATGGTCTACATTTAGGGTGTGGGGTGTGGGTGTGGGTGGGTGTGGGGGTGTGGGTGTGGTTGTGGGTGAGGTGTGGGTGGGCGTGGGCGTGGGTGTGAGTGTGTGAGTGTGAGTGTGAGAGAAGAGAAGGTCACGCTCACATCCACAGCCACACATCCACACCCACACACCCACACCCACCCACACCCCACACCCGCACCCACCCACACCCACACCCACACACACCCACCCACACCCACCCACACCCCACACCCACACCCACCCACACCCCACACCCATACCCACCCACACCCACACCCTCTTACTTCTAAAGTGAAGAAAGCGATG